CAACGTTGTTTGGCAGTTTGCTCACATTTGAAAAAGCTTGGTCTTCTTCAATATAATTTTTAAAGTACAAAAAAAAATATATTTTCATCGAGTTTGAATTTTAGGAGAATCAGGAATTGGAAATAAAATCTAAGAACTAATAAAAAATACAATGAAAAATGTCTCAAACGTTGAGACTCTCACTCTAAGACGTGGTGTAATTTTATAAACTTTTGTATACCTTTTGATGGGTGTCTGAACTTTACGTTCGACTGTGACAGTAACAAATTGATCTTTTCATTAGCGTCGTTTAAGAATAACTTCCTCCAGGATTTGTACTCATCCTGAATTTCTGATTTTTCATTAAAACATACTGAATTAATGAGATGCCGGATAGAGATGTCCAGGTCAGGTTAGTTTATGGTGGCCAACTTGTAAGCTAGGACGGGTTGAGGTTACGAAATTCTTGTAAGTTAGATTACAAGTTGACAGGTCGTCAACCTGTTTAAATTGAATAAAAAAGTGATATCTGTTTCACTTAATCTGCCGCTAACAGATGAGAAAGCTTAAATTATTGAGTCAAATAAGGCATTAATAAAACATGTAGGTTTATTAACGCATTTTCTTTCGCTGTTTATCTCTTGCCTTTTTTCCCTTCAGCTTCGTTTATGTCTTTTCTTCTTTTTTTTCTATGGCTTTTGATAGCTAATTTTAAGTTGAAAATATCTGTTCGTTAAGGGCCCCCCTCAGAAATTATCTTCGACACCGTACATCCAATCTTGACGAAACTTTCCATAAATGTTTGGCACAATGAGTTACGGGAATGAAAAGATTTTTTTGTCTCGGAGTCTTACGGTTTAGGAGTTTTCCAGAGATCAAGGTCCAAAAAGGATCCTGAACGATGTCCCTAGATTTTACAATATACTTCAGGCTGGAGAGTTCGGGTTTGTTTTATTTTAAACTAGACACCTAACTACATCGACTGACCTGCGCCGATTTTTCAATTCAGCCTTTATTAGTTTTCCAGGCAACCAACAACCTCCGAAACCCGAAAAATCCTTCCGGTTTTCCAAAAAATCCTCAGTTTGACAAAAGACTAAGACCTAATTCAAAAATCGACGCCTGTCAGTCGATGTAGTTTCTTTTCCTCTTTTAAGTAAAAAAAGAATGAACTCTCTACGACAAACCGCAGAACAGAATTGTTTTTCGGTTTACAATAGTGGCCACCTTTTTTCCACTGTGGTCAACTTATTTTTCTTCACTTTTAGGGACAAAAAAATTGGTTGCCATAGAGAAAAACAAACGGTGGCCTTCACTGTAGTTATAAAACAGCAAATGTTTACTTTTCCAATTAAACAAATTTAAAGTTTCTCCTGTGATGAAAATTTCTTTTGTAAAAATTCTTGTAATTCTTATATTATTATCTTATATTTTATTTCCGTTTCGACTTTGAATAATTATCACAGCAGCGCTTTCTTTATTGTTTTTCTGCAGTAAAAATCACAGTAACAAGAAGGAAAATTATTATAAAATAGGAATTATTGCAGCATTTATATTTGAGCATAATATTTGATTTATGAGAAAATAGTGCAAATACAAAAAAAATCAATAAATCTTAATGTACAATACCCTAGTGAAACTTGCAAGAGTTTGAGTGACACATTTTCTTTACATTTTGTTTTTATTTATGACAATCGTGATTCAACATTAGATGTAACGATCGGATTTCATTCAGGTTTGATACCCCACTATTACTCTTTATTAGTTTTAAGTCCATTTAATGATTTCCCCGTTGCAGGGATATTCTAATATTTGATTGGCAGACGTTCAAGATTCATAGTGCTTTCAAGGGCTTATGCCTGTGTTTTTCAAAATTAGCTCTGTAGTCTGGTCGTTTGCATTCTGTTTTTCTTCAACCACTTTTGCGCAATATATAACAAATAATGTATCATTTGAATCAGCGACTCAAGCGCTACAATAGCCTGTATTATTTTTAATTTGTCATGGATGTGGGGGTTTTTCGACATTTTTTCACATATAGGCTTTTATATGAATTAAAAGCCCATAGATTATTAAACAAGAATATCGGTGGCTATTTCTTTAATAACTTTTGAGCAATGCACTTCGTAGACTTGCAGTTTTCAGCATTGCATAGAAGAGATAATTAGCTGCAAGTTGACCTAAAAATATCTCAGAAAATATCACGTGGAGTGGTGTACCTTATTGTTTTTTTCTAACAGAAAAATTTAAATTGTAATATTTCATTTGACGATGTTCAATTTGTTTATCCAACACGACCAAATAGAACAGTTCTTCATTTGCACTAAATATTAGACATGGCCAACGTATAGCTCTTGTTGGTATGTAATTCAGAAATCAATCTTTAACTTGTATAAAAAAAGAATGTGTTCCAATACGAAGATCTGATTGTGGAAAATCGACCGTTGTATGGCTTACAGAACGTTTCTATGATGACATTTGATAAGTAGTGTTTAAATGTATTTTTTTGTTTAATTTAATTTATGTTATGAGCAGAAATGGAGAAATCGTTGAATATGAACAACATCAGGATTTAATTAGTCAACGAGGACTGTATTATAATCTAATATTACATAATAACTAGAACAGACGGAAAACATCGTTTATTTTTCAAACTGTTGATTTTCTTCTTGTTATGTTATTTTAACGTTCTACATGCGAACGTCTCCTTCATTGTTCGAACTCATTTTAACTCTATATATTTGCTTATCATTGTTATTATCTATTTTAGTATGTATGTGAGTGCACAGCAAGACTTCTCTTTGAGATATTTTGTACTAGCTATGTTTATAACTTGTGCTATCGAGTACTCATGACTTTTTGTCAATAAACTGAACTTGAACTTGAATTTGTTGTATTGTTCATGCTGCTTGTTTTCCTCAAGTTGTCATCATACCCTGAGGCTCGTGTTGATCTGTATCAGTGCAGTAAGACAAATATTGTATTTCCTGGACTTCTACGTACACTTGCAATTTCTGTTGTACCGCCGGAACATCGAAGAGCCCTCCGAAGCACAGTAGACACAGAATCTGTCGCTTCTCGTAAATAGGCATCATAATTGTAAAACTTTTATCAAATGAAAGGGACAAAAGAAAGTGTCGAGTCGGGTCAGATCAGGTCGCAAAAGTCGGCGACATCCGATCGAAGCACCAAAAAAGCGCCCCGTGACAGTCACTGACCCCCCACCTACATCTGCACCCAGCCAGCATCAACAGACAAGTGATAAAAGGAGGTTAGCGAGAGTGCAAGGAAAATCTCTTTTCAGACGAGCGTTTTTGTCAAGCCTAATTTTTTCTCTAGGTAGTTGTCACGATGTCTAACATATTTTTGAAATGTCTCATATTTGACTTTTGTCAAATGACAAAAACTGACCCAGCAAAGGTCTTTAAGTACCAATTTCAATTCGGTCTTTCCATTTTAACTTTATTTAAACGGTAGCGAACATCGACCGAAGTCATTCTTCCAGTTTCCCTATTATACACCCAGGATCGATCCATGGGGAGCCAACCACTTTTCTGGAAGTTTTTCTTCTAGGTACTTCTACTATATGGAAACCATGGAACGTCAGAGAAAAACATTTTTGGTAATAAAATTGCAGTCTTTCTAGCGAAAAAACTCGAGTTCTGGAGCCAGATCTCGGAACATGGCGCCTTATGATTGAATCATGGGGATATATGAGTAAAAAACCTCGCAGACTACATAAAAGAGGTTTTCCATGAAATATTACTCCGCGGCGTGTACGGCAGACTATGGGACCCCTCTCGCAATGTGAAAAAATAGCATTTTCAGATGAAAATCGCGATTTTGAGGTCTTTTTGAGCTTAATTGAAAAAAATTGACTGAGATAAAGACTTTGACTACCAATTTCGATTCGCTCTTTCCATTCTCACTTCCTATAAACGATATTGAGTATCGACAGATGTTATCCTTCACGTTTTCCTAGCAAACGAACAGTATCAAGGCTGTTAGAGTGCAACATAATACTCCGGAACTCTTTCAATCGACTCGAAAAAGAATATACACGATCGAAAATTGTGTAACCTAATAGAGTTAACCCTACGAGAAAGATTGTTAATTGGTTTTATGGGTGATTTCCCTACTCGAAAGGCTTCTCTCACAAACTTCTAGAAGGCGATGCCTAGTTGATCATGCTCACTCAAAACTCAGAAACTGAGTCAGAATATTTCAATCTGTCACCTGAATCACGTTCTGGTGAGACGAGAATCAAATCTGTATGATTAGATTGACTAGAGAGGATCCAGTGTGACCTCGAAGGTGGGTGTGTGACAGGGAAACGTGAAGGATGACTTCCATCGATGTTCGCTATCGTTTAAATAATGTTAACATGGCATCATCCGGAAATCGCCGTCGCCGCGGATTCTTATATGTTAAAGTGTTAAAGTCTTAAAGTGTAAAAGGATAAACGTGCATAACTGAGGGTGAAGTAGTGGGGATGGATTGGAGCACTTCTTCACCCACTTCACTCTCACTTCTCCACCCTCACCCTCACTCGCCGCGAGTTCGTATATGTTAAAGTGTTAAAGTGTTAACGCTAAAGTGTTAACACTTTAACACTGAATCCGCGGCGACGGCGATTTCCGGATGTTATGGTTAACATGGAAAGAGCGAATCGAAATTGGTACTCAAAATTCTTTTCTAGGTCATTTATATTCATTTTGACCCAAAAAGATCCCCAAAACACGATTTTCACCTAAAAATGCTATTTTTTCTTATTGAGAGAGACGTTCCATAGAGTCTAATTTAGCTGCGACAAGGTAATATTACACGCAAAACCTCCTTCATGCGGTTGCTGAGATATTAAATACACTTACAGTAGCAGCCATAAATCTCCACCCCACCGTAACTTTCTAGAAATTCGAGAAGTTTCTAAGGGTCTTACATATATAAGTAATACTCGTGACGTGCTGATCAGAAACATTTCTCTTTCCTCTCTCATTGACATCAGTGGTCAGTTTTCACACATGGCTCTACCAGTCTACCAACGATACGAAATTGTGTTTTTATCTAATCATTCTCTGGGCCCACAGCTCAGTCATGCGGCTGTGGCAAAAGAGATTACTTGTAGCAAGTCTACGGTCAAATATTGGCTTCAGCGATGGAAGCAATCGAAAGATTTAACTGACGCAAGCCGATCAGGTCGACGTCGTATGACTACCCCAAAACAGGATCAGCGAATTGTTTCACTCGCTGAAGAACAGACATTCGTCACCATCCAAGATGTTGCACACCAGATGAAGCGAAAACGAGTGGAGATTAGTGAGCGCACAGTGCGACGACGCTTGAAAGAAGCTGGCGCAAAGTACAATCGACCTCTCGCAAAACCTTTACTTACGGAACGTCGTCGAGAAAATCGTTTGAAATGGGCGCGAGAACATCAAGCTGCGAACTGGGACCAAGTGATATTTTCCGATGAAACCACCGTACGTATGAATCCCGTGAAAGGCCTGGTTTGGAACCTGCCAGGGAAGAAGAAGGTGGTTCGAACTGTCAAGCGTCCCATCAAGGTCAATGTTTGGGGTTGCTTCTCAAGCAAAGGTTTCGGTCGCGTCGCGTATTTCCGAAAGAATCTGGATTCGAAGTTTCTCTGCGATATTTACCAGCGTGGTCTCTTACCTATCGCTCGGAAACAGTTTGGTCCCGATCCGACGTTCTGGAAGCTGCAGGAAGGTAACGATCCGAAGCATACCTCGAAACTAGCAACCAGTTGGAGAGCGAAGAAAGGAGTTGAAAAAATTAATTGGCCATCGATGTCACCCAACATAGCGCCCATAGAAAATGTGTGGCAGCTCCTCAAAATGAAATTGAGAAAAAAAAACTTCATAACTTATGAGTCTTTGGTTTTGGCAATCAAGCGTGAATTGAAGGCTCTACCATTAGACTTGGCCATCAGGCTTGTACATAGTACGAAAAATCAAATTTCCGAAGTTGTTGGAAGTCGCGGTGATTTCATACTGCGTTAGCGATCAGGATAGACTATGAGCTGCTAGATAATAAAAAAGTTCCCATTTAATCAAGACGTTTCGTAAAGTCAGGGTGGGAGGAGACTTATGGCCGCTACTGTACTAACTCAGCTCTTCATGGAAGCGAATGAAACACACTCAACTTGAAAATGCTTGATGAAAGTGAACCAATAACCAATATCCACACGGCAATGCCTCGTCCTACCTATCGAAACTTATTTATCCATCCATGAATGCAGCCATTCGACAACCTTCTTCTGATGCTCCAAACCACTGCCATCTGACGAGATTCGTAGCGGGATCGAAACCGGTCACGGCCGCTGTTCTCCCACCCACACCCTCACCCTCCTCTTGAGAAAATTCAATTACTCGATAGATCTGCCCGATCAACAGGATAAAACTGCTTACATAGAATACGTAAAGAAACTGACGCCGGCCTTTTCAACTTGCACACAAAAATAACAAAGGATGCGAGATTGACTGCACCGAAGCACGAAAAAAAATCATGAAGCGGGCGCTGCATCTAGACTAAAAGGTACATTTATCTAGCTTCAGCTAGCTGCACAGAAATACATGAAAATTTTATCTAGCTTCAGCTAGCTGCACAGAAATACATGAAAATTTTATCCAGCT